TCTATGGCGCTATGCGTGGAAACGTATATCATATTCATGGTGACCACAACAACCAGACCAGTAGTTCTTAGAAGCCATTCGGTTCTGTGTATGTCACCGTTTGCAATTTTTAACTACCGTCGCGAGACGCCTCAATCCATATATCATATATGTAATAAAATATACATCATATATATATTAAAATTAAATCGCATATATAACAAAATATACATTGGCTCTTTGCCAATTGTGCAATAGAGTGATGAAACTTAATCCATATATTCAATAATTGCTAAAGTGTGAATTCACAGTTGCACCCGTCGTACGTATTGCAACACATACACCATGCGTGAACTACAGAGCGGAAAGTTTTTATACGTATTGAAGAGGGTCTACAACCATACATTTTTGCAGTACGTACCGCTTAATCACGCTTGCAGAAGGTATGCAATCAGAAGTATTGCGCAATATGCCACATCACAATATAAACGTAAATACAGTAGGGATGGTTAAATACGTACACCACACAACCCATACACAAACCATATGAGAAAGTGTTGTACGTATTGCAGAGGGTATATAACCATACATTCTGCATTATGAACCACATCCCAATACATACGTAAACCATATAAGAAAGTGTTGTACGTATTGCAGAGGGTATATAACCCTACTTTTTGCATTATGTACTAAATCCCAATACATACGTTAACCATATGAGAAAGTGTTGTATGTATTACAAAGGGTCTACAACCGTACGTTTTGTATTATGTACCACTTGAGCACACTTGCAGTGCGTATACAAATAATCATACGTATTGCCTTATAGGCCCACATCCCAATACATACGTAAACTGGCGTAGGGCATTTCGATTGTGTTGGTCCCCACTATCGCTCGCCGGGCCGCTACTTGTTCAGTGGACAAACCACCACTCGACGGCTGTAGACGAGAATAATAAACAGGGAGGAAAAAAAACAGGTTTATACCCGAAAAAACCCCCCGGGATTGCGTGGTGTTTGCTCAAGGAGAGTTCGCTAATATGTGGGTCTATCTCTTGTCAAGTACATACGCATTCTCAAGTAGAGATCGAATAACTTTCACTCTTATCTCAGCGCACCCGTCGTCGTTCCCACGGTGAGCATGCCGATCAGCACGTCCTGCATACTAAATTTTAGACAATACATAATATAATATAATATAATATAATATAATAAATACAATACAATATAATATAATATAATATAATATAATATAATATAATATAATATAATATAATATATAATACAATATAATATAATATAATATAATATAATATAATATAATATACTATAATATAATATAATATAATATAATATAATATAATATAATATAATATACTATAATATAACATAATATAATATAATATAATATAGTATAATATAATATAATATAATATAATATAATATAATACAATACAATACAATACAATACAATACAATACAATACAATACAATACAATACAATACAAAACAAATAGTATAATATATATACGTAGGCATGTAACGTACAACAGTCAGGCAAAGAGCTGTCTTACTGTGCCCATATCCACAGGCACGCGCAAACAGACACATATACATGCAGACACACATACTCACACACCCACAACACGCACCCATACCCTTCCCAGGTCCAGTAGAGCTGTATGGGATGAGTTGGGGAAGTGGTAGCTGGTCTCCTCGAAGGCCTCCACTTCAGGATTAAAAACGTACCGTAAACACTCGAATACAATATACCGAGAACCGGAATCGGATTCGCGGACTTCGCAGGTTTCGTACGGGACTAAGAGGGTGTTTACGTAAAGGTGGGTATATAAACGTAAGTAAGGTGTACGGAAATCTGCACATACTGCAGTATATGATGTATACATACATACTCATAAGTCTTAGCCATGCTTTGCTTTTGATACACACTCATACGCTAGTACATCTTTACTTTCCTATACGTCTACTTTAGTTGCATGCATACGCGCTCGATTAAACGTACTGAACCATATTTATTCTTATGATACCTACACTTGTGCTTGTGTAATTGTACGTAACAATACTTGGTATAAACATACTGCACCATACATATCCTAATAAAACCTACACATGTATTTGTGTACTTGCACATAACTATACTTAGTATAAACGTACTGAACCATACTTATTCTTATGGCACTGAAACAGGTGCTTGTGTAGTTGTACGTAACCATACCGTCCACTTGCATGAGTTTCTTGAGGTATTTGGTGAAGAAGTTTGTACTTCTGACGCCTGTGGCCGATCGGCGGAATTTAACGTATTCTGCATTCTTCAGCTCGCACCTAAACGCAAAGATAGTACAAAAAGATGGTACATAGATTAGTATTCTAGTAGAGATGAATAGTACATAGTACAAATACTAGTACAATACATCCTTATTTACGTACACCAAACATCCTAGCAAGATATTAATAATATATACATACAAACATACATTACGCATACATACATCCATACATACATACATACATACATGCATACATACCTACATACATACATACATACATACATACATACATACATACATACATACATACGTACATACAGACACACATGCATACGTTCGCACTTACGTACGCACGTCCGTACATACACACACAAATACGTACATGCATACCTACATACACACACACATACATACATGCATACATACAAACACACATACATACATGCATACACACACACATACATACATGCATACATACAAACACACATACATACATGCATACACACACACATACATACATACATACGTATATATATATATATATATATATATATATGTGTGTGTGTGTGTGTGTGTGTGTGTGTGT